TTTAATCTGCCCAGTTTTTGAAAATGGACTTGGAATGAAAGTTTTCAATTTCTTAGAAATCTCCCATAAGAGAAACGAGTAGAAAAAATCTCCCAAAAAGAAGGAGTAGAAAAAAAGCTTTTTTTACCCTGAAAACCGAAACTGATCCAAGTTTGACCCACAGTCTTTCCCACTATCCTGGGACGTCTTCTAAAGCTTGTCACAGTCAAGGGGAGACCAAAGGAGAGCCCTGGATGCCCCGTTTGTCCTCACACTGCAGACCTTCCCCGAGCATTGCTTTTCCATCCTTCGCTTCTTTAAAAAACCTACAAGTCAAGGAAAAGTGATGAGGAACTTGGCCTGGGTGTTTTTTCCAGGGAGCATAACTGGCCAATATCTTTCCTATTTGTGGTTTTTTTTCTTTTAATTTTATGTGAGCTGAGTAAGATGGTGGGACCCTCTAGGTACTGGACTCAAGCTGGGTGACATCTTTTAGGTGAAGTTGTTTTTTTTTTTTATTTCCTCCCCTGGCCAAAATGCTGACTTGAGTTAATTTAACCACTTTTCAAATTTATGCTGGTTTCCCAGAATAGTTTTAGTTGTGAAAGAGAAGCTTAAAATCTTGCTAAAAATGTAAAAATATCTGATACAATTTTTAGATGCACAATGAGGCTTTATGTTAAAGTATGCTTACTTTTTTTTTTTTTTAAATTTATTGCAGCATCTTGGAAATAAATGGTTTTGAACCACATTTTTTGAAACAAAATGTTTTTCCTTTGACATTTTAGTCCCCTACATTTGTAAGGTTATTTCTGAGTAGACCTCAAACTTAAAAAATGATGACTTGAATGGAACCCCAAAATAGGTGACTCAGATGAGAACAGGAACATCCTGAGGAATTCAGAGCAAGCCCAGTCCATTGAAGAAGCCATAAGTAGTTTTTTCATGCTCTTTTATTGCTTTTCCATCCCATGGACCGCAGAAGGGCTTGGACTCTTGTCCCACACTGCTAACTGGTCCTTTGGTCATCCTCAAAAAGGAACTGCAGTGCAGGTAGCTCTTGCTGATGGCCACAGATTTGTAGTACGGAATTAATGGTCAGACTGTCCTATCCTTGAAAATACGTGTTTGTCAAGGGTGGTGGAAGATCCTGCTTGCTGGGACAAGGGGAGGCAGAGTTATTCCTTCGCCATCAATATTGCTGTGCAATGACTCTTTCCTGCATTGATTTTCATTACCATCTTCAGTGTGATCCCTATGTGAAGATTTCGGTGGGAAAGAAATCCATAAATGACCAAGAAAATTACCTCCCCTGTACGCTGGAGCCTGTCTTTGGAAAGTAAGTTTTGATTCAGTTTGGAGTCCATGTGATTTTTTTATGTTATATTGAGGGAATAGGGCTGGGCCAGCCAGAGCTTCCCATTCCAACCTACATTCAAGGTCAGGCCGGACGGGGCTCTGAGCAGCCTGATCTAGTTGAAGATGTCCCTGCTCATGCAGGAGGGTTGGACTAGATGACCTTTAAAGGTCCCTTCCAACCCAAACCATTCTGTGATTCCATTGGCATGGTCTCACCTCATGTCCAGCCTTGCTGAAGTGAGTCTGGCCTTGGCTCGACCGCTGTCCTACCCACCATGGCTCGTGTTCATCTTCTCCCTGGGACTTTTGAACTGTGGAGCATGGACTGGGTCTGCTCTGTCATCAACGGAGATGTCAGGAGGGTTGTTTAGACTTGAGATTCCCTCGTTGAGACATCTGCCTCATCCCAGCAATGGCAGAGAGAGTCTGGGGAAACTGCTCCTCATTTAGGCACTTTGGTTAAAAGTCTGAAGAAAAGACACGATGAATGGAGGACTGTTTGATTAGGCTGTGGCAGGGGACACCTCAAAATCAGACGCCCTGAAAATTATCTATGAACATGGTATGGGCTGGTTGAGTTGTGTGCCTTGCAGTAGGGCTATAAACTTCCGATAAAAGGCAAAAGATAATGTTGTTTTCAGAAAAAAAAAGTATTCATCGCAGCCAGAAAGCACCATAGGGACCATGCAAAGTGGAGAGAGGTAAAGGAAAACCCGGTGCTCAGCCTCCACGTGCCAATAGGACTTTGGTTGCCCAGAAGAGCTGGGATTAGACGTAGTGGGTTATGCTTCAGCACAAACACGGGTCAAGCCCTGCTCCATGTGACGTCCCTCGCCAGCTCAGGATGTCAATGCCATGACACCTTCCCAACAAAGCAAGACAGAGAGGGAGATGATACACCATCTGCAAGGATGGAGGAAAAGGGAGAGGGATGGCGAGGGTGATACTGGTGAGACCGTGGAGGACAGTGTGCATTAGACAAGGCGTTTCCTCCTCTTCTGCCAAATTGAGACGGCAGCTCTGCCTTTCCTACCGTGAATGCAGAGTGGTTGCTCCCCATCTAGCGTGAGGTCTGGTCTCTGGTGGGCCGGGACCTACTGCCCTGACGCAGAGCCCACAGCCGGACCCCGGTGGCAGAGCAAGCCCTCCTTCGCCAAGCCTGGCTCCCGGCCAGAGGCCGTCTAGACAGCGTGCTGCACCTCCCACCCGCTCTTTAAAGCAAGATGTAAAACCGAGGTCCTGGCTGCTGGCGGCTGTTAAACCTCCTGTTTCACGAGCTTTTCCCTGCGCGGCTGGCCGCCGTCCAGCTTTAGCTAATTACTTTCTGCTGACCCCAGTTCCTCCTGCACTCTTAATTGGTGGCATAATCACTCACTTCCCCTCCTTAAAAGCTGCTGCAGGGTGGGTGCTGGCGGTGGGAACGGGCATCCTGTTTCTCCCCAGCATTGCCTGCCTGTCAGCAGCAGGTGGAGGGGTCCCTGGTAGCACTGGGTCAGACCTGGACCATCCTGCTCACCCAAGCATGCCACCTTCCACACAGCCAACATCCACCAGCACCAGCCCTGTCTGGATCAGGGTGTTGTTGTGTTGTGTTTTGGTGGGCTCTTGGTGCTTCGTCTCTTGCTGTCCTTTATTTGGAGAGGGAGAGGAAGGTTTGCTCTTGCTTCATGTCTGTAGGATGGCAGAAGAGACAGCACAGAAGAAGGGTGCTCAGGACTGGGCAGAGAGGACAAGGAGGCTTTGGGGGGTCAGTCTCATGCTGACCACAGGCTTGGCCCAGGCAGGCTCCTGTTTTGGACGTTTGCTCTCTGGGCTCAAAGAGCAGATGGTTTTTCCAAAGCTGTCATTTCTCCCCCTTTCTCACTCCACGGCAGTGATGATTCCTGACTCTTGCCTGCTGCTCTTTTCCCTGGATATTGCAGTGACCACCGTCATGTCCAATTAGCAGATGGAGAAACTACACAGGGGCAAAGTTTGCTCGAGGTTAATTCAACCAGGCAAAAAAACCCAAAACCCCAAGGCACGCGTGCTTAGTTGCATATCCACGAGCTAAGCCAGTGCAACACAGGAGCAACAGTACCAGACCAACGTGGCAAAGATGTGCAGCGGGTGTACTGTCCTCCCTGGCACTGGTGGACATGGGGATGGTGTGTGGGTCCGTTTCCCGTGGGGCACTCAGCAGCATGAACCTCCATCTCATGGGCATTTCTTGGCTCCTGTTGCACAGGATGTTCGAGCTGAGCTGCACTCTGCCCCTGGAGAAGGACTTGAAGATCACGCTCTATGACTATGACCTCCTGTCGAAGGATGAGAAGATTGGGGAGACAGTCATAGACCTGGAGAACCGGTTCCTGTCGAAATATGGGGCGCGCTGTGGCCTCCCCCAAACCTACTGCATGTAGGTACCTCTGCGGGTGCAGGCAGTGGGTCCCTGTAGCTGCCGGGGCTGCGTGGTGCCGAGCTGGCCACAGGGACCAGGGTGATGCCTCAGCCCATGGGTCTGCTGGCCCAGGGATGTCCCGGGGGACCTGACCAGTGCTGTACTTCACCGCAGAGATTTGTATAGAGAGGATGTTTGAGGAACTTACCTGAGCCCTGGCTCTCCTCCAGAGGCGTGAAATGCTTCAACTATCAGAAATCTCCCTGGGGACACCCTGTTACGTCCCTGATGCCTCTTGGGCACACCGTGGTGAGGACACCCCCCATGCACAGGGCCAGCTGAAGGGTGACATGGTGGGTCTGGGGGGGCCATCGGGGCATCCCAGCCCTGCAAGCTGGGGCTGAGTGGGCTGTGGGACATGCAGCCCTGTTCACCAGTGAACAGAGACTCAGAGCGAGCTGCACCTTCCTCAGACCAGCCCTCTGTGGTGTAACGCTGCTGCGACCTCCTTGTTGAGGCTGGAAAATGTTGTATCACTTGTTGAGCTGCTGTTTTCCCTCCTGTTTGATTTCAGCTCCGGACCCAACCAGTGGCGAGACCAACTCCGTCCTTCCCAGCTGCTTCACCTCTTCTCCCTGCAGCACAACTACAAGGCTCCCACCTACAAGTCCGACCGGATCATCTTCAGGGAGCAAGAGTACATCCTCTCTGAACTGGGTAAGGTAACAGGGCTGCTTCGGGGTTGCACATAGCTTTCCTTTATCCAGAGCAAGGAGTGGAGCTGGAGGTCATGAACATATGGGGGTTATCATAGAGGCCAGGACTGGGTGATGGGCACGTCCCCATCCTCCTCACCTTGCTGTCCAGGTTGGCTCTGCACCAACCCCGGGGCTGAACCCAGACCTGCAATCCAGCCACGTTAACTTTGGCCTCGAGTGACTGCCCTTTGCTGCTTGCAGCGACCCAAACACATGCGGTCTGGGCGCAGCAAAGTCCATCGCAGCCAGAGAGGCTCCAGCCTGATCTTCCAACTGCTGCTTGGGCTGGAGGAGCAGTTGTGCCTCTCTGCGTTTTGGGGCTGGAGTCACTAGAGGGAGACAATATCATACACACAGTGCCCAGCACATCCCACCACGGCGCGCGCCTCGGGGGACGAGGTATGCTCCAGCTGGAAGTGCAAAATCAGCCTCTGCCAGCAAGGAGAAAATACCAGCGAGCGTTGGGGGAGGCATTTTCTTGTTTGCACAAAAACCCACCCACACCGACACCTGCAATATCCTGGGCATCAACTCCTGCCTGTCTGACTGGCATCCTTGGGGGCAGAAGTTTGCCTTTTAGAGAAAACTCTGCTTTAAAGCATGTTTTGGCCCAGGGAGGAGGTGAAACCCCACTGTACGGCCCAGGAGCTGCAGTCTGACTTTGTTGAGGCCACTACAGCCTTGCAGAGCCATCAAGGAGGACCTGGCCTGCAGAAGCACAAGAGGGCAGAGCCCAGGGCTGATCCCTCTCCCTGCTCTTGGGAATCAAGGCACAAATTCACGGTTCTGCTCTGAGGAGGAGTGGGGAAGCAACAGCTCCTCTGCAAGCTCTCGTTATGCGAAAGGTTTTCAGCAAGGGCTGGAAAGGTGTTAAACCAAGCGGGGTCTTCCCCCCTCTCCCAGCCCCTGCCTTTCACCTTCCTCTGCTTTAATGGCAATCAGTTCAAAAAACAGAACAAAGTCTGATGCTTGACCTCAAGGAGATCTGGAAACCAGCTGTGTTCGCGGAGCAATGTCAGATCTGAACCTGGCGGTATAAAGTGAAGCTATTAAACACGAGAGCATGGGTTTTACAAGCACTGCACCCGGACCATTATTCCATAACCCCCACATTTGTTGTTTTCTGAGAGGGGCTTTTTCTTTTTCCTGTGCGCGCACACACACACACACACGGGCACGCACACGCACGCCAGGTTTCCACTGCTTGGGAAATAGCCCATATGTCTGAAGTTAACCGCTTCAAGATATTGCCAAGAAAGGAGCTGGGATATATCACCTGAAAGTTGCAGAGCTGTAATAATATTTATGGAGCGCGTTTCATTTCAAAAGTCCTCGAAGGTGCATGGCCTTGAAACGCTGTGGCATCTTGGGGTGATGTCCTCCACCAGCCCCAGCATGGCATGTGGGGATGGGGAGGCAGGGGCAGGCTCAGCCGAGACCAAGCCGGCCATCCTCCACCCCTGGATGTAACAAGGGATCCCGAGTGCTGGAGCAGAGAAGTCAAAAAAGTCCTTTATTCATAGGTCTTGTCCGATCTATTTGCGGAGGGACGAGGGTCTGGTGTGGGTTGAGGAGGTGGAGATGGTTTCAGGTCTGCTCACGGACGGCTCGGTGTGGCAGGAGCAGGCTCAGCCGAGACCAAGCCGGCCATCCTCCACCCCTGGATGTAACAAGGGATCCCGAGTGCTGGAGCAGAGAAGTCAAAAAAGTCCTTTATTCATAGGTCTTGTCCGATCTATTTGCGGAGGGACGAGGGTCTGGTGTGGGTTGAGGAGGTGGAGATGGTTTCAGGTCTGCTCACGGACGGCTCGGTGTTTGCTGTGGCTGTTTCAATGCCCGTTTGGATGAAAGACCACAAACAGCCCCGTGGGAGCAGTGAGGACCGGAGCAGCTGTGCTGGTGGTGTCTGCATGGCCATCCTTCTCCTGTCCTCTCTGTCTTTCACCCCGGACCCAGCAGAGAAGCAGCAGGACCCTGTCAGGAGCTCATTCCCACTGCACTCCTCTCTGCCCAACTGAAGATTCTGGATGGATTTAAGCAATATCCATCACACGAGTGCTTGCAAACCGCACCAGAGCAGACCCTTTCCTCTGCTCTCCCTGGAGAGCTTTGATCACACATTAGATAAACCTCTGCTGGGGTGGGAACGGCAGCAGAGCAGCAGCACGGACTGTCCTTTCCATGTGCTTCAGCTCGGTCCTTGCAAAGTTTCACATGCTGTGATCCCAGGGGGGACCTGCACGAGACCCCCCCCACAGGTCCCCGTCCCATCGCGCGGTGGTTTGCCCGCACGTCGCACTGGGGGCGAGTTGCCCTGTGCCCCGGGGGGTTTGTGATGACGGCGGATTTGTAAGCAGGGGCTGTGCTCCCCCCCTGCTCGCTCCCGGCTGCGGTGAAGCTGGTGGGCTCATGCTCGCTCCCACGGGGGGAATCAGAATCCGTCCCTGCGCAGCCACGGCCGTGGCGTAACGCTGCTCTTTGCTCTGTGGCAGAGGATGGCAAACCCCTCAACCCCCACCTGGGGCCGGCGGAGGAGCGTCTCGCCCTGTACGCGTTGCGGAAGCAAGGGCTGGTGCCGGAGCACGTGGAGACGAGACCTCTTTACAGCCCTCTCCAGCCAGAAATCGAGCAGGTGGGTGATGCCTCGTGTCCAGGACAAGACCAAGAGCATCATCTCCTGTTGATCCAAGGCTTACCAGGAGGCTGGCTCGCTGCGGAGCCGTGCTGGGATACCTGCCCCAGGAGATGGGCTGTTCCCAGGGGGGGTCAGCTTATGGGGCTGGAGCTCAGCTCGGTGGATGACTTGCTCAGGGTGCTTGGGGAGATTGAGTCCAGCCTCCTGTGTTCATTTTCATCACCATTTGCTCACAACTTTTTTTTTTTTTTTTTTTTTTTTGTGTGTGTGTAAAAGCCATTTCTGATCTGAAAGTCTTAATGCAGAATTCTTCTACAATGGTAATGACGCTGCAGGCTCCTTTGGCAATGCAGCCGTGTGATTTCTGCAGCATGAACCCTCCCTTGGAGGTGTAAAGTGTTAGTACTGTTGCAGACTGGATGTTTTTAAGCCAAATGAAAACTAAATGGGCTTCCACCCAAACCCAATCAAAATCCAGGAATCTGTATTTAGCCTACCCCCTTGTCTTTGATTAACATGTATGTGTAGTTTATGCATTTGGATCAAAAAAATGCTGCTTCCCCAAGAACAAAATGATTAATTATCATCTGTCATACATGTTCCAGCTGCATCGCAAAGGCAGTTTCAAGAGACTGGCTCTGCAGCTGGTGTAAATGTGCACAGCCACCGATCTGCACCGCTTCAGCCCTTTCCCTGCTGCAGTTCGTTTTTAACCAGACCACCTCTCCAGGGGTGGGAGAGGAGAGTCGCCAGCAGAAGTAAATGCACTGGCAATTACTTTAACATCTTTTTGTGTGAATTCACCCAGTGAAAATGACGATTGGAGGCAGGAGATGGCTGCTATCGGGTGACCAGTGGGTCTGTGCTGTTCTTACAGGTGTCGTGGTCTTGTTGGACCAGCCATGGAGACTAGGAAGGATGCTTCCTTCATGTCCATGTTGCATATGGGAGAGCAATCAGGGTCTGCCCTGCACTGGTGCTTCTAACCACGAGCATCCGCAGGGGTGATGCTGGGTCCAGGGCGATGCTGTGTGACTCCGCGCACATTGCATGTAGGGCAGTTCCCAAAAGCATGGCTCTAGCCACAGGACAGGCTGGCTCTGTGGGGCCGTTTGTAGTGAGCTAAAAGTCAGGTTGGGCTTTTAAAGTTTTCTGCTGAAATGGAAGGTTTTCTTGCCAAAAAGCAAGCAAACCACAAACCCCTCTGTGATGGGCTGATTGTCAAAGGATGGCTTTTTTTTCTTTTTTTTTTTTGCTTTCAACCCTTGAGACTGCACAATAAAATATTTTATTGGCACCCATTGGTGTTTTACAGTAAAAGAGACCACCTAAAAACCACCCTCCCTGAGATTTCAGCTGCATTTCTGCTACTCTCTCCCTGGAAGGATTTTGTGAAAGTGGAATTAGATTCCCCTCTCCTCATCCTACCCTCCACTCCCATGATCAGAAACCCATAAACCAGCCGTCCAGCTTGTGACAACTGGTGACACCGCACAAAAAAGTGAGCTGCTTGCTTCTCCAATACCTCCCACGGACCTAGTCTTTAGTCTGTCCCTATGTAAAGATAGCCAGCCGTGGAGAGGAAAGCTGGAGTTCACCTTCAGTTTATCCAGACCAATCACTTATATATTACGAGCCATTAACATACACCCAGCTATCACTAAAATAATTTTAATATAATACTTAATGGCTTCAAGTTGTGCCAGGGGAGGTTTAGATTGGGTATCAGGGAAAATTTCTTCTCTGAAAGGGTTGTGAATCCCTGGAACAGGCTGCCCAGGGAAGTGGTGGAGTCCCCATCCCTGGAGGGATTTAAAAGACGTGTGGATGTGGTGCTCAGGCACATGGTTTAGTGGTGGCCTTGGCAGCATGAGGTTCATGGTTGGACTTGATGATCTTAAGGGTCTTTTCCAACCGAAACAATTCTGTGATTCTGTGACACTTTTCCATTACGGAAAACTTAGTTTTCAACTAAGGAACACTGGAGACCTTGATATTTTCTCTCTCCACTACTAGGTCTTACTGAGAAGGTGAAGGTAACCCAGTTAGGATGCTCACCAGGCTTCATGCATCTTTCTTTCCATACAGGGAAAGCTACAGATGTGGGTGGACTTGTTTCCGAAATCTCTGGGTCAGCCTGGCCCCCCGTTCAACATCACGCCACGCAAAGCCAAGAGGTAACTTGTGTTTCGTTTCTTACTCAGTGTGGTGCTGGTTCCAGCACCTTCTCTTTGTGAGGGGAGAGGAGGGGGCTTAGAGATGTCAGATGGGGAGGGATTCACCCGCCTAGCAGAGAAACATCTATGTGGGCTCATCCTCAGAGAAAGATGACTCACGTCTTAGCTCCTTCAGCTAAATAGCTGAGTGGCACAACCAGGCTGTCTAGGTGGGCTCTGGACCAAGATTTCCACCCTCCCAAGTTGCTTTTGTTCCTGGGGCTGTCCAGGTTCTTCTTGCGCTGCATCATCTGGAACACCAAGGATGTCATCCTCGATGACCTCAGCATCACTGGGGAGAAGATGAGTGACATCTACGTCAAAGGGTAAGCCACCCTGCCTTCTGCGTCCTCTGGGTGCTGTAGCCCGAAGGTGCAAGAGCAGCAGTGCAGGAGTTAACATGACCCTTGCATCAACATTGCTGTGGTAGACATGAACCCCTGCTGGGTTGAAGGGGCCATTCACACCTCTCCAGCTACGGATCCAGCTTCTTGGCAGACAAGTCCCTGCTAGGCTCATAACTGCTTCACGACGTCAAGTTTTTCTTTGCATCTCTCGGATGCTCATGTCACAATATTTACATTTAGAGAGATGAGATGTGGGGAAGCAGCCTAGCCATCGGAGAGAGGGGCACGTAGCCTGCATTTCCACTGCCGGCTCCTGCCCAGCTCCTCTCCCGGCACAGCCGTGGGCTTGTTCCATATACATAGGTTGGCTTGTTTGCATAGCTGCTTTTTTTGGAATTCCCTTTTTTCCTTGAAACACACAAAAATGTGGCAACCAGCAATAACTCCTCTGGCACATTCCCTTCTCTGCCTGAGTCCATTTATGTTTTATCTTGTGTAAAATGGTGCAATCCCAGCCAAGGGACTTACTTATTTTGTGCGTTCTTTGGATTTATGGACAGGAAGAGGTAGGATTTTGAAACAGACTGTAAATCCCTTTTTTACAATCCCAATTTTCCTCCTGTAAATCCAGAATGCGCGCTGCTTACCTGGTATTCACATCAAGTGCATTGTTATCAGCTCCAGCTAAGCTGCTCTGTGCACTTCGGGGCTCTGAAATAGTAGTGGTCGCAGGGTGTTACCGGCAAAGCGAGAGCATCCAGCGCTTGCTGATATCCCTCGCCTGGCTTTTAGCATCCCCAATGACCGAGCAAATCTCGCAGTGCTGTAAATGAGTTAAAAACGTTGCTCAACTTCCTCATCTTCCTCCCCAAATGGCTGCATCACTAGCAGCTCTGGATAAGGCCTGAATAATCCTACTGGGAGGGGAGGCAATGGTCCTTCTTGTGCTTAAGCATCTGCCCTGCAGACAGGGGATCCTGTGGGCAAAGTGACCTTCACCACCATGGTGTGGTGCTGCTTAGGTGGGGACCGTTCCTTTAGGGTGAGCTCAATGGATAAGGAGCTTTTACCTGTGGCTTACCTTCTTCTAGATTGGATATTAGGAAAAATTTGTTCACCCAAAGGGTTGTCAGTCCCTGGAACAGGCTGCCCAGGGAAGTGGTGGAGTCCCCATCCCTGGAGGGATTTAACAGATGTGGAGATGTGGTGCTCAGGGATGTGGGTTAGTGGTGGGCTGGGCAGTGCTGGGGTAACGGTTGGACTTGGGGATCTTAAAGGTCTTTTCCAACCAAAACGATTCTGTGATTCTGTGATTCAGAAGATCTCACAGTGCTTCTCTGAGGAGGTTTTTGCCAGTTTATTTTGCATTTTACCCACTAGGCAAGGCCAGGGATGGAATCTCAGTCTCTTGGACGTTATCTTCTATATAATATGTAAATTATTTTTGAGTCAGTTAGGCAGGTAAATGAAATGGGAGCTTTTCTATTATGCCTGAGGCAGTTGCCATTTATTTTATTTAATTTAATCAGTTATTTATTGATAGTCTTACAATAGCATGAAGAGATCTCATCCAAGTTTAGGTTGTGCAAGGCTGAATGCAGAGAGACCTTCCCTTCCTAAAGATTTGTAGACAACAGAGTGGTAGTGTAAGGAAATCATATTCATTAGGAACTGAAGATGGTTTTTTGGGTTAACAATCCTCTCTGTCACTGTCATAGACAGGGGATATATTTTTTTATTGCTTTCATAATGAGATTTCCAATTAAAAAATGTTTTACTTCACCAAGAGGACGGACCAGCATTGAACCCAGGTCTCATGGGAGGTGGGAGGTTTGCAAGTTTTTCAAGGTATTTCAAGGTAAAACCAGTACTGCTTTGAGCCAACCGGACTAGAAATTTCCAGGGTCCCGTTCCAACCAGCCACCACTACTAAGATTTATATGACATTATATGGCATCTCTAAAACTCATATGCATCCCCTTTTGGGTTCCCAAGTAGAAGGATGGCCTGGGTCCTCCAGGATCTTACACTCGTGCTGAGCAAAGAGGGAGGTGTGTGAGTTTTGAGAACAAAGTCACCTCTTAAATTTCAGAACCTAACGTTGCCTTTGGATATTGTAGATACGTTAAGTCACATGGATTCAAAAAATACTGGATGAACTAATGGGCTAAAAATCCATCCAGTCCTGTTAAGTACACAAATATTATCTACAGTTCAGGAAATCTCTGACCCGTAAATTGTTGGAGGCTGGAGAGGTGCATGAGGAGGGTGTCAGGGTGTATTTGCCCCAGTCCCGTACTCTTCCCTGGATGTCTGCTGTTGGCCCCGGTCAGAGGCAGGATACTGGGCAAGATGGGCCTTCGGCTGGTCACCACGGCCATTCCTACATCATGTTTTTAATTCTGGAGCACTGTGACTTGAATGCTTTTGATTTCTGGCATCTCTCTCCTGCAGTGGGGAAGAGCGCAGCAAATTCTGCAAGGAAAAAAAACAAACCACGTGCCAAAGAGGCATCCGAATCGAACCATTTCTTTACGCTTTTTTTTTGCCTGCAAGGAGAGGGCGCTCACACTGCATCCTCCGAGGGTCCCTGCCAAGCTTTGAAGCTCTGGGTGAACAGACAGGCTTGCCATTCGCATCCTATCAGATCAAATAAAATACTCCAACCACAATTTAAGTATTAGCGTAGCCTCATCACACAATTCCCACTGCCACCAAGCCCTCGCTGGCCATGTAGCACATGTGCATGTGATGTGTACCGTAGGATGAACTTGAGTAGACCTCCCTTCCCTGTCTCCCACGACACATTTGGGGTAGGTCATGTGCTCCTCTCAAGCACTGGAGAAGAGGGAATCATTTGTATAGCTGGGCAAAACCCCTTATTTTCAATTTAAGTGGAAAACAATCAAACGAGATAATTGTTTTCTTTAGAGATTCTCTCTGAATCTTCTGGTTTTCCTCCAGAAGGGCTCTAAATACACAAATGGATGTGTTTTATTGTTTTGTTTTGTTTTGTTGATTGCTGAAGACTGAAAAATCTTGGACAGGGAAAGAAGGCAGAATGAAAACCTGACAGTTGCAAAACTCACAGCTGGAAAAAAATAGTTGTTATGGAAAGTTTTCAGTTTGCCCCTGGGCTTGCTGTGGAATGACCACAGCAAGTTCTTTTAGACCAGGAAGGGAACTGTGCTGCGAGGACCCGTCTGTAAGGGGAACGGCTGGGGACCACCCTGGCCACATCAGGGTCTGGGCACTCTGGGATTTTCCTGGGGAAAAACTTCTTGGACATTTAGCACTTTCAAATAATAGTCTTCAAGAAATCGACATAGAATAGAGGGAAAAAAAATGGCCCTTTGGTCCTTTAGCATGGTTGCCTCATCGACAGGACTGGCTTTAGGGGCTAACTAACTACAAGGTCAGTTTGTTGGGGTGGCTGCAGAGGGGAAAGGAGGTCTCACCAAGGCGGGTTAGAAGCTGATGTGTGCTTATGGATGGGTAAGTGACAACTTCGAGCCAGAGCTTAAGGCGATGTTAACTCTTTAAAACATCCATAAAAAAAGGGGAGGAATGAGAAGAGATTTCAGAGCTTCTCAGGCTGCAACCACCAGCACTGCTTCATCTCCCAACACTGCAGGGACTGTTGCATTCCCTCTCAAGTCTCCTACGGGGTCTAGGTTACCCCTACAGATAGCAGCCCAAGGCATCCGCAGGGGTGAGGACATTTCATTACCTGCTCCCGGCCTCTGTGACATGGAGTGAACTCCAAAATCCTTGGTGCATTTCTAATTTTTCATGCAACACATTTGCATTTTGCAGCTGGCTGGTTGGCCATGAGGAGAATAAGCAAAAGACGGATGTGCACTACAGGTCTCTGGGAGGAGAGGGCAACTTCAACTGGAGATTCATCTTCCCCTTTGACTATCTCCCTGCTGAGCAAATGTGTTACATCGCAAAGAAGGTGAGTGTCATTTCTACCTTCTCATAGTAACTCTGGGGTGAAATGTGCTGCATGATCTTAGACCTGCACAACTGCAGCACAGATGGAGCTCTGCAAGGCTCGGCCTTACCGTTGCGTTATTTGAAACACAAAGTTGCGGACAGGTGGGGAAATTGGTTTAAAAATCCATGTTTTGAATACAACATTTTTTGGGGTCAGAATTAGAGGTGGCTTTGTATAAAGAGTCTGGAGTGACTGACCCCCCCAGGAAGGACTCCTCAGGGCTGGGGGCAGCTGAATATTGGTGCAGCGGTGTCAAAGTGCTCTCCAGGTTGCATGGGACTTCCAAGATGCCTGCCCAACAACAGGGTTACTCCAAAGATGGAGATGGCATTTCCATGGGGATGGTTTCCAGCATAGCGTAATGGGCATCGTGCTGCACGATAACTTCACAGAAGGGCTGAAGAGGGGTGAAAGGAAGGAGCTGCCTGCAAGTGCCTGAAGGTTAAGCAGGAGGGACACATAGGGGAACATGAGTTGGGATGTACCGGTGATGCAGAAATGGGAAGAAAAGCTTTGGTTTGGGATTCAGGGTGAAGATGCCTTTGGTCTAATAAGAGAGCTGTATACTCGGCTGGGAAGTTAAAAGTGTGATGTGATTTTGGCCCCCTCATTCCTGCATCTGCAGTAGGCTATTGCTTCTGGTGTCCCTTAGATGTGTTAGTGCAATGTGATGATCAGGTGTGGACTGGGAGTTGCACAGAGGGAAGGAAACAGGGCTGGAGGTGGGGTGCGTACATGGAGACACGCTGGTGAAAACTGGACTGGCTCTCAAGGAACACTTTAGGGGAGGGAGAGCTATTCACTTGAATTTCCTGCTCATCACCTGGAGATTAAGAGGAGTGTTGTTGGGTCTGGTGGACAGCAGGGACGGTCCCCGCTTTCGAGACTCGGTCGTGTTTTGTGACAGCTCCTGGAAAGCTCAAACCCTTCCAGCCACCCAACCCCGAGTCTTCATCCCTGCTCCCCGCCTTGCCACTCCGAACTCAGCCTCGGTGTTCGTTTGAATACAAAGACACCTCGGTGCAATGGGACCGTCTGCATCCATAAAGCTCGCCTGGGACCCCCAACCCAGCTTGTTTTGTGGGGGCCAGCAAGGTCCCAGCACAGCCTGGGCTGGAACTGGTGCTTTCAGCGGGGAAGATGCTGAGCAAATTCCCCATCCCTCGAGCCAAATGATCCCTGCGAGGAGGCCTAGCTTCAAAATGAATCGCTGGGTAGTTAAACTGATTGACAGAATCATAGCTGTACCCATTTCACGCTTCATGTTAAACAAATCAAAAGTACAGTGTGTACTACATTCAATTATCCCCCTTTGAAAAAGCAAAGACCCCCCTATAAACCGTTTAAGAAAATACATCCCACTGTGCTGATATTGATTCTCCTCCGACCACATGTCTGCCAACACTGTATCAGAAAATAAACAGCTTGTAAAACCTCTCTGTAAAGGAAAAAATAATGAATGAAAAGCCATGCTTTGTATTTGTGGGACACATTCCGCTCTGGCAATTTTTGATCTCGCCATGTGCTGTTTGAACTCCAGGTTCATTACTGCTGCTGTAAAAGCCCATGCACCGAACTTTAAACGCAGGCGATGGAAAGTGGAATTTAAATCAAAACGGTCAGATGGCAAATTCTGAGTTGCTAAAAGCCACCTGCGCCCAGCCTTGCTGGTGTTGGCCCTCGGAGAGAGCGCTGCTGGGAGGAAAGCAGCTTTCAATTTGCTCTCCTTTGTTCACTCCGCTCACCTCCTGGCAGACTGGAGCTCCCTTTAGCATTGCAGGATGGACCGCAGCAACGGGTTATCCCAACCCAGATTGCAAATATTCTCCCAGCAGAGCGGGGATGCCTTTGGGCAGCAGGGTCTTCGCGATGTTTAGTTCTGGTGTGCACAGCTGGGGGGGAGCTGGGTGTCTGCAAACCCGGGGAAAACCCAGGTGCCGCGTGGTGGAACCGGACCCCAAAGCCTTGGGATGGCCAGCGGTAGCCAGGACTGTTTGATCCTTGCCAGAGCACTGGAAGTTTCGGGAACTTCATCTCCAAAGTTTCAAAGTGCTGGGATTGTGTGGGGTTTCAAGGCTTCGGTCTTCCCATGGGGCACCTCAAGGGAAAGCAGGAGCCTGTAAATCCTGAAAGCATCAATTCAACTTATAGATTGGAAGTGCAGGCTCCTATTCCTGCTTCTCCAAACATTTTAACCATTTCAGAATGTTTTTCCATCCATACCTTCTCTTGCTGCAGTAACGTTATAAAGATTTTGCTTCTCCTTCTGAGAAAAGAATTTACCCCGTTCTCAGTTTCGAAAAAATCCCCATTGAAGAGGGAGTCCATCTTTGGGACAGCTCTTCTGAAAATATGTAAATGCATGTTTCTTTAACATCCCCTCTCAGCATTTATTCAGAATTTCCTTCTGCTCTCGCTTCTTTTTGTGCCATCTTCCTCTAGCAGCCATGGACAAGCCAAGCCACGTCATTTGCATGGCCGCAGCACGCTTGCAGCTTGTCGAGTCCTGCAAGAAGACAGTTTCATAGGCTGCAAATCATGCAGTCATTTTGGTGAAAGCGTCAACACACATTGCATGTTGGAGCACTGTTATTTCACAGGGGGAGCTGGGGTGGAAAGGTAGATTCAGTGGCCCTGACATGTTTGCATGAAATTGTGTATTGACTTACGTAGGGGAGGAACATGAAGGTCCCAGAAGAGCAGATGTCTGCAGGGTTTAAACTTTAGATCCCCAGGTCTAAGCCTGGCAGGTCTTGACTCTTGCAGACAATGTTATCAGATGGTCATGGTACAACCAGAGCCTACGGAGAGCAATGCTGAGATAGGCTGGATGTGGATCATGTTTCACTGGGCACCCACTCAGAGAGGCGCTCAGCTCCCACATCTCTCAGGCGCTGTGGAGGTGGGAAATGCATGAAATTGATTTTGAAATGTTCAGCTTCAAGTACCAATTACAGTGGTAGCTGAATATGACTGCCAAATCTGAATTCTAGATGTCCTCTAGGGCAGAAAAATCTTGACACTGAATGTCTGAGCAAATGTCATCTGCATAAATGAACATTCAGGGTAGAGTTTCAAGAACATCTCAACATACAAGTTAAAAACTATTCATGCTTGAGTCGTCCTGGAAATAAACCACTAGGCTGGAGCTTCCAAGATGTGGTTGGCTTGTTCATCATAAAAGGAACACCAGGAGATGAATATAATGAGTATGGGAGCATTGTTGGCAATTTCAAATCCACGTCATGCCATGTCATTGGCAGAAACCAGACCAAGAAACATAGCTGTTGTCTTCGTACTTGTTCTGCTACTAGACTCTGGTGTTAGGTATCAACAAGAAAATGAAGTATTGATGCCAGAACACAAAATATTCTGTTTTGCAAAGACAAAGAGAGCCATTGGAAGAGGACCCATCCCACTACTGCAGAAGAAACTGCAAGCAACTGTCTGGTTTATTCAGTGGGAAGGTTGGGGCAGTTGTGGTGAGGCTCTTTTTCAAGGAGCTCTTACATTCATTTCATTTCATAGTGCTCCCAACTAAAGGGGCGCATCCAAGTCTTCAGGAGATTAATTGCAACCTACCTGGGCACAAAAACATGCTGACTTTGAGTTGGAGGTCTCTGGGCATCTGGCATCTGACAGTGGTGGGCGCATGCTGCTCACGTGGCGAGAAGTAGGTGGCCCTATAGGATAATCCCAGGAATAACCCCCTGGCTGTGAGATGTCGGTGATGCTTGCACGTATCTCTCTGAATAATTGCGACCCTGTTTCTGCAAGGTGCAGTTGCAGTCTCCAAGTTTGCTGCCTCTGGCATTGAATTTAACCACAAACCTGACATTTGGAAGGGTTTTTTTCTATAACTGATCAGCTGCTGGCATCCCAGAAATCATACTAGAGATAGGTCTTCAGGAGCGGTATGAGAAAGAGGGAGGTTTGGGGTCTTAAACCCACCTAGAGAGAAAAGTGCAAAGGCATTGGAGGGAACAGCAGGGAAGAAGGGCCTGTCACTCACAGCTTGTTTGGTTCTATTGCGGAGCGGAGATGAGAATAAATTCCTCCCTCCTTGGCGTTGTGGCTCTCCCAGCTCCATCTGGTTTCATCGATTCTGGTTACTTTGTCTGCAAATCCATTACAGCGTCCTGATGTCTTCCTGGTACCGACAGCTCCAACCAGCTGCAACGGGCCAGACCCTCACCCGGGGCAGATCAGCCGGGGCATCCCTCTGCACCCAGCAGATTTGCACCAGCTGGGGATGAGGGGCCGGTGCCAGCGGTGGGGCTCATGGGGACGTCCCCGTCGCAATTGGTTTTGCTCGTGGCACGATGCTCTAGATCAGCTGAGAGCTCGTGGGCAGCTTGGGCTCAGTGTATTTGTCGGACAAGGCAAGAGATTACCCTGGAGGTAAGTGTGTGGCCTCGCCGTTGTTTAATTTTTATAAAAAAAATAGCCAGGCGTGTGAGGTTTCTGCAACTGGGTCCTTGTGGCATGCCCTTGTTCTGGTACGGTTGTCGCTGAATCACCAGGGTGTACGAAGAAATCTCTGTGCTCCGGTTGGTTTTACTTTGAAATTTTGAGTATCAAGCGCTGATTTTTGTTACGAACAGTTAATATTTTATTAGATTTAAATTTCCATTCCTCTTTGGTGTCAGAAAGCTAAAAAAAAAGGCCATTGCCTTTCAAATTTTGGACCTTTCCCTCTCCTGTTTCCTGTCCTTTATTGTGTCCTTCCCTGTTTTTCTTGGTGACATCAGAAAGCAAAGCAAAACACAAAATGTTCCTTTTCTTTCCACATTTAGCCAAAATGTAACATTTTGAATGGGCTCCAAGTATGGTTTTTTTTTTGGTCAGAGGAATGCAGAGTTAGACAAGGCAGGCATATATTCTGTATTTTAATGGGACTGCGACGAGCAAATAACACTGACACAACAGTCTTCTGTAACCGGACAGTGGCAGCAGCCGTGACCTGGGATGCACCGGGAACCTCTGTGATATTCAGTCAGGAGTTCCTGGTGTGAATTTTGCTTTCCGATGGACGTATGGAGATGGATGAGCAAAGCATGGCTGTGCCGAGAACTGAAGGTCCAACAGTGCTGTTCGCAGACTGGCCGGGACTGGGACCCCAAGGCTTGGAGCTCCCTGAAGGGCAGCAGGATGGCCCCATGTCCCTGGAAAAAGCCTGATAAACTCTGCCAGAAGGAAAGCAGGGGAGGCTGAGAAAATAGTATTGCAGCGAGTGATTCCAGGGACCGAAATGAGACTATGTGCCCCAAGGCAAATATTATGACAATTTCGCATTTATGGTGCGGTGACGCCTGGAATCTTCCTCCAGGTATTGGCAAGGCTGTGCCCGAACGCGCAGCAGATGCTGTACGCTTGGGATTTCGCTCAGCTGCCATCCTGCTCAGGGAAGGATGCAGAAAACCAAGTGCCGTGAGACCTGCGATGCAATTGTCAGATTTGGCAACGGCAGGGAGATCAAAGAGGCGAGTTAGTCCAGTAAAAGTGCAATAATAAGTGCTCTCAGCTCTCTGCTTATTATGAATAGATGAAATGTCCCAATGGGACGGGGTTCAGAGAAGCAGTTTCTCAACACCTTGAAGGATGGCTCTGCAGGAGAGCTTGTCCTGGCTCCTGCAGGAGAAGAGGTGGCTCTTGGCTGACCTCCGAGGGGGTCTCCTGCATGGCCGGGGCTCCCCAGTTGCTGCGGGATGAGGGACCTGATGCTCACCCGCATGCGCGTGCTGAAATGAGCTGGGCTTGCTTGGGTGCGAACACGTTGGGGCCTCCCTGCAATAACGGGGTTGCTCCTTACTTTGTATTCCGTAGCACATAGGCAACCCAGAAGAAATGCAGCCCTGTCAACACTTTCCTAGTGATATGAGCTTATTTTTTTCCCTGCCTCCCCTGCTGCATTATTCACGACCGTAAAATATTCACCAGCCTCCCATCTGCCCCCCCCACCCCTGCAAAACAAACCCCCAAACAATAATTCAAGCCCCCTTCCTACCCATGTCTTGCAAACGGCTAGGAAATAAATTTCTTGCCTTGGGTTGTTTTTATAGTGAACTTTCGTAGCTAGATTTAATCATGGAGGCAAATTTCACACTGCCTTGAAATGGACCCATAAACTTCGCTCAGCATCAAATTCCTCCTTCCCCAGCCTGCCCTTCCAGCTCTGATCTGCCGTGTCCCCAGCTTCACGGGGCTCCGAGGAGGAAAGCTTCACCACCGGCCAAACCACATTTACAGTGTTTTTCCACAAGAAAGGCCAAAGCTGTACAGATCGTGCTAGCGTTGTATGAGCTCCGCGTTGCCACCCGGAAAGGGTCGAATCCTACCTGAGTCATCCTTCATCAGGCCGGGGGTCCCCGGCCAGCCAGGGCATTGCTCTCAGGGGTAGAAGTGGTGCTGGGGAGGCAGGGGGGTGCAGCGAGCATCCACTTGGCCGCGTTATGGGTTTTGTTCGCTTTGAGTGCGGGCAAGTCCATGCGCATTGCAATGGGAAGGTGGGAAACCCAAAGTCCTGTACGTTTGCCAGCAATTGCGTGGTCAGTCCCGAGGGACGCTTATCCAGTTGTGTTTTATTGAGTGGGAGACGGCCGCAGCACCCGCTGGCTCTGACCTGGGGTCAAGGTGCTCTTCTCCTGTCCCGGGAGGACAACCAGCACCACAGATGGGGAAGGAGCCCACCAAGAGGAGGGGGATTGCTGTAGCAGGTCAAAGAGCGGGGGAGTAATTTGGGTCTCACAACAGCCTGCTCCTTTTCCTGGTTCCTGCTGTTTGCTCATCAGGGCACTCATGGATTGGGTCTTCCAGCAGGCAGGACCTTTTCAGAGCTGCCATCACCCATACCTCCCTTTCAGAGGGGCTGCTCAAGTGCTAGGTTTTACTCACATTCGGCTCCGGGTAGATGGGGTAGTGCAAAGAGAAGGTCCAACATGTCCTTGAAGAGGTGCTTCAACCCAGGCAGCAGCGTAGCGATGCTCTTCGTGCATGGGCACATCTGACGAATGCAGATGTGGTGAAATCAGCCTCTGAGCCAGGGACGTTAGTTATCACCGGAGAGGAAGAGGCACCTGTAGGACGTATTTCATCCTCTCCCAAGCTGAGCGTAGATGGGGCTGCCTGAATTCCCCCAGGAAGGGGCAATCGGAGGGAGCCCATGGTGTCTGGCTGTGGTGGTAGGCACCACGGGAGATGGGTCTGGCTCCATCTCGCAGACCCCAGATGAACCTTTCTGACCCATGGTGAGGTCATCTGGCCACCTTCTTCTTTAGGCATGGGTATATGTTTCCTGGGGGGCTTTCTCCTCTGGATGACTAACAGCCCTTCTGCAGTGCAGGACCCTACCAATATATGGGAAAGGGAAGAATCACCATAAGCTCTCTCACTTTTTAGCAGTTTTAATTTAAAATGACTTATTAGCTGGGAAAACATGCCCCCCCCCGCCGCCTTGGCTAAACATACATTTTAATACATTGCAAGGAGCAGAGGGGGAGAGATGGAAGTTTCCATTGACTTTATTTTATTTTTCTAGATTATAAAATATTTAAAATGCATAAATAAAATGCTCCATTGCAAAAATGCTGGCGTGTTTTTCCAAAGCAAGGCGGGGAATGGAGCTAAATTGAAATATAACCGTCCAGGGTGATCTCTTAAAATGAAACCAGTTTCAATGGGATTTAAGTGCCCACAGTCTCCCTGCTTGAATATTTATGTTCTTATGGAGTGTGACACATTCTTTTTTTCCCCCCCTTTTTTTTTTTAATATTGCACGATATAATGAATCAGAGTCTTGTAGCCACCGCAGTGAATTTATGGTGCTACGTATGTGTCATGAATAATGCTGAAGTTTCCTGGTTTTAATTAAATCTGTTCCGTTTATGATACTGCCATGTTGCAAGAGTGCAGCGGGAGGCATTGCCCGCAGGGCACGCCTCTGAGCCCCTGTCAGTAGACACGGGTCGTGACTCTGCCTCCTCTTTGCAAGAGTTGGTTGGAGCCAGAAATAACAAGACCTCAGCTTTTTGTGCGTCTCCGTCTCTCTCCTTCTGTCCTAACACTTCTTAGTCCTAACTTTCAGGCATCCTGTGGCATCCCAAAAGTGGTATTAGATCCCTGTTGGGAAATATTACTGGTTGCAACCACATAAATAGCAAATTTTGTGGCATGGGCACATATCCACCATCTATTATAATGATGTGACCGCAAGCTTGTTGTCACGGTAGTGGGATTCGAGCCCTCCTTGTTAGAGAAGTCTAATTTAAATGTTCTCCTCCACTGGCTTTTTGGGGGGTGTTGGTCCGACTGTCCAGAAAGCAGCCCATCTGCCTTGCTGTTGACCTATCCACTGCAGTAACTGGGCCACTGCAGATGCAAGTTTCTCATGGGTGAGTGTTTTGCAAATCATCTCCTCTCCAGAAAGCAGAAATTGCTGCATCATCCTCTTGCTGAGCTCCCTTACGGATGCTGTCCCCAGGCAGTGGCTATTCCTTATTACCGTGGCCAGGTTGCAGAACTGAAGGCTGACAGCTCCCGCACTGCACGGGGGCTTGGTAAATGATGACGATCACAGGGGATGCTCACGGTGTAATTTTCATTCCAGGTGCTTTGCAAATAGGCTACTGGGATGGCTGCAAAACCTTTCCACAGGTTGTCACAGCAGCCTTAGTGGCAGAGAATAGGCAAAAATTGTCCATCTAATAGAAATAAGGGCACATAGTGACAGATCTCGTTGTAAGGACTGCAATCAGGTGTCACAGTGCTACCGCTCGATGAGTTGTGCAGGGAGCCAAGCTCTGGTTATCATGACTCCTTGGTGCTCTGAATCTTTCCTTTCTTGAACTTGGATGTAGTAATAAATACGGCAAGCATGCATGCAGCTTGGCAGCAGCGCGGTGTAATATTAGCAGCAGATTTACTGCGACACCATGTCCAACTCTAGCATTCACCTGTCCTGAGAATGAAAACCTGGGAGATGTGCAGAAAAGATGAACAAAGCCATTTGAGAACTGAGGAGCCCACCACAGTGAGCTACTATGAAAGCACCAATCTCTCTCTTTAACATATTCGTGTTTAGTAAGTAAACTCGGGAGCCACAGGCTACCTACAGGTGGTAGAGGTGTTTGCAGGTTGTAAGTTGGCCAGCTGCACACAAACTACTTACAACAGACCGGATAGAAGATCAGAGCAGTGGTGGATCCAGACTTGTGCAGGGCTCTGGCTGCTGGCAGAGCTGGGGTGACAGATGGGCAGAAGGACAAGGGATGTATTTGAATGGCCTACCCTAAGTGCTAATTTATGTCTTCTTCCTATATTTTTCCATTTATTAAGAGGAAGATGAAGTTTGGCAGCACTGGCACTCAACACTCGTTGCTCTCTTCACCTTGGAGAGTCACCCTCATCTAAATGGTGTGAATATGATGCTGTCACTCCAAAAGACCCTATTTGCAAACTCATGGTGCCTGTTTGCTAAAATATTGTCACTAAATTAAGGCACGAATTGATACCAACCCAACTTCCAGAAGCATCTTGGGTTTTCCAATGAGCATCCTTGCCCAAGAACTGGCCGGAGCTAGTGCTGTCCTCCTGTGGCCCTGGCCCCGCAGAACTGGAACAGGACACACTGAGGGTGGTTACATTACAGGATTTCTACTGCTGTGAGATGAGAGCAGCCAGGCTCTGCCCACTTTTACTAATGAGCCTTTTATTTTTCCTTGGTTTCTTTCCCGGTCTGATTTTAGGAGCACTTCTGGAGCTTGGACAAGACAGAAAATAAGATTCCACCGCAGCTTATCTTCCAGATCTGGGACAATGACAAGTTCTCTTTTGATGACTATTTGGGTAAGTCGGGAGAGGTTTTTGGCT